TGAGGTAATTGTTTCTTGAGTTGATTAACTAATGTAGAAAAATATTATTATTCAGCCGCAATGGTCATGTAAGAATACTAATGTCTCCTCTTGCCTGTTGGGCGTGAAGTGTTTCTATGAAAATAATTGTTCATTGCACTTAAAAGGTAACACGTCAAGTACCCATTAACACCTACACAGAAAACCTACATGCGTCTGGCCTCCACCTGTTTCTTTGATAAATCTTTTTACCTACCCAGCGGTTCATCTAAACGAGAATTGAGCGTACACGGTATGCAGGAATCGCATAAATTTGTCAAGAATTAATATGAACACAGGAGGCTTAGGGTTAAACCCTCTGTCCCACTAATTGTTCCAGTCCCCAAATTAAGTGGCATGTGATAAATGAGACACCAAGTGAGACACAAAATGGGATAGAAGATTTGGGCTCCAGTCGCATAGCATTACCTACAGACCACATAACCTACCAAGAAAAATGTTAACGTTTCTCCGTGCACATAAACTGACTATTCTTTCTTACATTTTGGAGGAGGGTTTCTTATAGTTTCAGTTCTTCCTTTCCATAAATGCGCTGAAGCTCGCGTGTTGCTGCTTGATATGATTCTGAAAATACGAGGAATTGTAAAGTAAGAAAATAAGAGCAGTAAAGGGGCACTAATATGGATAAAATGCATTTGTATGCATACAAGCAGACAATGGCAGACGATACATGAACAGACATGCACAAAGATGGCTCATAGAGCAAAATAAAAATATTGTTACCTTTCCAAATACGAAATGATTTCTGATTAATGGGAGCACCAAACACAGTCTGAATTGTATCAAACAACAAGGTTTCAGGAGTGTTTCTCAATTCTTGTACTATCTGATAGATAGTCTTTCCATTTTCAAAGTATATGTGATTGTTTGGATGTTTTGTTTTGCAACGAGCATGCTGTTCAAACTCATATGCATTCAGCACCTGATACAAAATATCAGTCATCAATTATCAGTTGACAATTTCGATAATCTTAACCAGCAAAGTTAGGAACAGTTTGATTACATACCTTGGAAAAATTACATGATTGACACCCACACAGATAGCCTGAACCTTTTATAATTCCACGAAGCTCCTTTTAAAATACAGGAAGGAAACCATAAGATAGCAAATTCCAACTAAATAAATAGACAAAAGAACATGTGCAGAGTTACCTCTCTTGACAAGGAAACATACTTCACTGGAACACCATCAAGCATACCAGTTGATATCAAACTTCTGACATTTGAAGGGAAGCTGTTTGGAGCTTCTTTCTTTGATGATTTCAACTCCAGCTTGCCCCTTGAAATTGATTCAGGTTTTGATTTGGCTGCCTGAGTAGCACTTGCAACTGCAGAGGCACCCAACTGTTTGTCAGAAGTTGCTTCTGGTATTTGTTCTGAAGATCGATTGTGTGATGGTTCATAGCTCCCAACAGGCTGGTCAGTGGGGATAATGTCATGATCTTCTTGAAACCCACCAAATGAAATAATATTAGCATCCTCCTTGCAGTAGGTATTGCCCATTGATATGGGAATCTCGTCACCCTTGCCGTATGTTTGGGCTGTTGGCCTGACACTGGCATCAAGCCTGTTGTAGGTATGACCCATTAGTGTGATATTGTCATACTCTTTATCATAACTCTGAGCCATTGAGATGAAACTACTTTCATTTTCCCTATTAAAGGCCTCAAGTGTTGTCATGTCACTGTTATTTTCCCCACTCAAAATATGTTCCTTTTCAGCATGCATAACATTATCAGAGTCTCTAACATGATTGACCTTCACTTTTCTAATTCCACCATAGCTGAAACTCATTTCAGGATCTTCTGTAGCATGAGACATTGACAAACCAACAGTTTCGTCTTCACCAAAATGGTCATCATCAATGTCCTTTCTACTCAAATTGTCAGTTCCAATACGAGATGCATGCCTTTCACCATAATTTACAGACCTTCCAGATTCAGAACCAAACAACTGATGAATAAATTGATTTGGAACTGACTGGAAACGGGAAGTATTTTCCCAAGGAGAAAAGTCTGAGTTTGATATTCCAGGACCAGGTTCACTGTTTGGAACTTGCAC